CACTAGAGGCCAAGGTAGACATTTATAAACATTTATGTTTAACATATCAGAAACAAGAAACTGGTGTTTCCGGTGTGAAAATGAATATGCTTTTTCCTGTTCATATTTCCACCATGCATGTAGTCAGATTAAACATGTACACTGATTAATCTGTGTGTGTAGGTAGAGGATGTTAAGAGCGAGCTGATGGAGCGTTATAAAGTTCTGCCCAGCCTCAGCAGTCGTCTTGCAGAGGTTGAGACTCAGTATGAGGAGATGAGAGAAAAGAACAGGCAGCTGGAGCAGAAGCTAGTCAGCATGCAGGTGAGAGCCATCACCAAGTAGTGGTTTTATTTTCTTTTGAGTCATTTGGTGAAGCTAAAAATAACTTCTAATTTGTATAAAGTGACGTAAGTCTGTTGTACTGTGCAATATTTCAGTCTGACATGCTTTTAAGTTTTAATGCCTTTGCTTTGTTACATGCCCTCTACAGTGGGCTCAAAGCCTGAGATCTAATTTAAACCTGGTAATAATTAAAGCTTTTGGATTTTGAACAATAAAAAGAAAGAAACATTATACTGTAAATAAGAAACACTTATCATTTGTGTCAATTTCCTGTCAAAGATTTCTGTCAATATTCAAATTAGTTAATGTGTGACATTTACCATGTTTTATACAAATTAAAGGGATAGGTCCCTTTAACCTTTGTATAAAAGGTTATTCAATTTCCTATTTTCTTTGAAGATCCTCTTTGGAACATTTTTTTAAATGACCAGCAAAACGGGGACGTACCAAATACTAAAAATTCTGAAATTCATGTACATTTTTCAGTTCAACATTTTACTCAAATTCTTATGATAATACAGTAAATGTAATTTTCAAAAATTTCCATTTTTTTTCTATTATTGTTTTTTTTACAGTGATCATAGACTATGTTGTTTCATGTTTACCTTTTTGTTATTTGATGACAGTGACTGTAAATCCTCAATGCAAAATAAATTCCGGTTATTCAAAGAATAAATGACAAAAATATACACTTTTTATAAAATTTGGGTTTTGGTATATTAAGTATAAATTTTTCAGAAATTAATACTTTTATTCAGCAAGGACGCATTAAATTGATTAAAAGTGACAGCAAAAACATTTAGCATGTTACATACATTATGTTCTTTTGAACTTTCAAATAATGCTAAAAAATGTGTCACGTTTTCACAAAATGATGTTTCTTACTAAAATCAGCATAATGATTTCTGAAGGAACATGTGACATTGAAGACTGGAGTAATGGCTGTTGATAATACAGCTTTGCAATCACATGAATAAATTACATCTTGAAATATATCAAAATAGAATTTTTTTTAAACTATAATAACAATTTACAATATTACTGTTTTTCTGTATTTTTAATCAAATAAATAGAGCCTTACTGAGCAAAATAGACTTTAAAAAAACAACACCAACAAAATCTTTTGAGGGGTAAAATATGTACTATACAATTTATTTAAAATGTATACATTGTAGTTACATTATTATTGATGTATTTTCATGTTTAAAATAATTGCATTAAGATTTATGACTTTAAATCTCCCCTTTTTTTGCCAAACTTTCATTTTAAAAACTCTTGGACCCAGCTATGAAATATTAGAATCTGTGATTAAAACACTTTAAGCAAGCAGTTCTCTATATGTTTGTGTGTGTGTTTATGTATGTAGATGCTGATGAGCACTCACTCAGAGAAACTGCTTGAGGTCGAGATGGAGCTGCGGGAGCTTCGTCCACTGCGAGCTATGAGGGAGGAGGTGGAGGCTCTGAGAGGGTCCGTGGAGAACATGCGTTCAATTGTATCTTCTCTCGATTCGGGTCGTGTTGGTTCCAGTTCTGGTTCTCACACGCTGGGTAAGAAAATTTCATATACAACTCAATTATTATACATTATACCAAGTAGCCTACTTATTTGTGTTCACAACATTGTTTTTAACACATTTCAATACTGTCACCAGGCTCCTTAGAGCAGCAGCTCTCACGTCACGATGACATGATGAGTGTCCATGACATCCGCCTGGCGGAGATGGACCTGAAGCTGCAGGTGCTAGAGACGGCCAGCTTCAACGGTACGCTCATTTGGAAGATCCGTGACTACAAAAGACGGAAACAGGAAGCCGTGGCCTCAAAAACCCTCTCGCTCTACAGCCAGCCCTTCTACACGGGCTATTTCGGCTACAAGATGTGTGCCCGCATCTATCTGAATGGGGACGGAATGGGTAAAGGCACACATCTCTCGCTGTTCTTCGTGGTCATGCTTGGGGAATACGATGCCTTGCTGCCGTGGCCGTTCAAACAGAAAGTAACATTAATGCTAATGGACCAGGGGCCGGCAAGGAAACACTTAGGCGATGCCTTCAAACCGGATCCAAATAGCAGTAGCTTTCGCCGGCCCACTGGTGAAATGAACATCGCCTCGGGCTGCCCACTCTTTGTGGCTCAAACTGTCCTAGAGAATGGAACCTACATCAAAGACGACACCATCTTCATTAAGGTGACTGTAGACACCTCCGACCTCCCGGACCCTTGAAATCAATTTCACTGGGTCTAGATAATATCAAGTCACACAGCCCTCCCAGCCAAGACTTCCAAGAGCAGGGCTGAGTTTGGGTTTATAACAGTCCGAGCCGTCAGCTTGTGCTCGAGAGATGGTGCGCTCTTTGGGAAACAACAGTGCCTTGCTGGGCTAGATAGTTACTGCCTTTTGGAGGTTTGAGTAGATGAAGCTCCCATGTCAGCCACATCTAAAATGCAGTCAAGAGTAATACGTCAACTCTAATCAACCCAAAGAATGTTAATGTCTCTGAATCTACAAGACAAGGCGAAATGATGCTTAGATGATGTGTTGGTTGACTAACATCAAGCCCAAAGTAAAAGGAAGCTGTTTACACTCATCATCATGTTAGCCTTCAATGAGTATGAATGCGTTTGGGGCTAATGGTCATCTCTCATATTGGTTGTTAAGTCTGGAAGGTAACCCTTCATGTTTCGTAATCCTGACAAGCTTTGTATTGGTGGTTTTGTACAATATGCAAATATGGAACTGACATCTGTTGTGTTGTAGTGGTTTGTTGATGGACAGTTGATGTGGAGAGGAGTTTTGGGATTAGAAAGTCTTGTTTGTGTGGGCAGGGGTGGACATGTTTCTGTGTAGTAGATATAAAGGACCTGACTTTGGAGCATTCATGAAGGACTACATCGGCACTAAACAGTGACCCTGCAAGGGTTCCATTGTCAAAAAGCAAAACCTCAGTTTTTATGCATGTAAAACCTATTGTTACATGACTTAACCTTCTCTGCGTTTACCACTTTGACACATTATTTTTTGTAATGTTCTACTTAATAGATGCTATGCATCAGAATCTGCCATGTTGCCAGAGACACATATAATAATCCAGATCATTTTTCATGGTAGGGATGGTTTTTGCACAAGTATTGTTTGAATGTGTAATATGTGTATAAATATATCAATATAAAATTGTTGGAAAATATTCTGGATTCTGTTTTTATGGATGCGTCAAGTTGAAGTACTTTGTTTATTTATTTATTTTTGACCTCAGGGGAACTGAAACTTACCTTAGGCTATGCGACTGCTTTTATTCCTCTGTGTGCAGTTAAGCAAATGTCTTGCTAGAAAAAGTATAAATTTAGAACTTTTTTTTCACAAACTAATACCATACCATTTTTTTCTCCGATGTTTTATAACCGGTCAATACCTGTAATATCTATTTCCTATTGGACAAAAATTCGCTTTTTTATCTTGAGATACTGCTATAACAAAACATCAACAACAAAAACAATCATTTAATTAGGTTTAGGTTTAAGAAGAGGTTATATGTAAGAGGTCTAAACAATAATTTACACCTGATTAATGAAATTAAGTATTTAGGAAAATCTGATAACCTTTGGATTGGAAATAAACAATGTCGATTTTTAAAAAGTAATTATTATCTAGACCCATCCTAGCTAACAACAACCAGTCCTCCTAAATATCATTTTTATGGTTGTAATCAACGCCAATTTTTTTTTTAATTAAGGAGCAAAAGAGCATTTTTAAACATGACTCGTTTTCTCAATTTATGTCAAATGCTTAGAATAAAATATTCTGAAATATATAAAATATTAGATAACAGATTTAAAAACCAGGGATTCACTGCAGGGATTTTTTTTAAAGGTTACTTTCTGTGGCATTTTGCCCCATACCCTCGTGAGCTTCTATAATTGCTATTTGGCCTGTATTAAAACAGAATACTATGTTATTTCATGACTGACCACTAGGTGGCGTAAATGTACAAGCCTGACTTCCCACTGTCTGCTGAGCTAATTTAAAGCAGCACTATGTAACTTTTTCTGTGTTCCAGGTGATGTTTGCTTACAGATGTTGCAATTTCCTCTAAGGTTTTATAAAAAAAAATAAAAAAAAGACATCCTCAAACTCACTTGAGACAATGTTGCAATCTCAACATCACCATAATATTCCCTCACATGGAGATTAAATAATAGTTTTATAAACATTATGAATGTATTATACATTTGTTGAATCATTGCCCCAAGGTTGTGGAGTAATTTACTACTGTCCAATAGTTCATCCACCTCAATCAACATGTTTAAAACCCTCGTTAATACTTATTTGTTGTCTTTGGCCTTCACAGCATTGTTTTCTGGATGGATGCAAAATTTAAAAAAAATTTTGTAGGTTTCATTGCTTTTTTATATAAAGTTTGCCTCTGTTAATATGTGGTCACATTAACAAAGTACTGGCAAAATTCTGTGGGCAAAAAAGTTCCACTGTTAGTGGTTTAGCAATGCATGAAGTAGAGCTTCTGTGAAATTTCGCAGAACAATGGTAAATGTGACCACATTAATTTTTTTAGTAAGCTTTTTTAACTATGTAGGCAGAGCACTTCTGAGAAGTGGCCAAGCGATTTTTAACAGTCATGAGATATTCCTGTTCATGCTGCACAAGTGTTATCTATGAAAATGCACGGCAGCAGAGGTACACCGCGGGTGTATGCAGAATCAGAGGGTCTGCAGACTTCAGATTAGGCCTGGTGGCACAAATGTACGGCCGCAGCTTCGGCCATGAGGGATAACAATGTACATGGGCGTTCCACATCTGTTCCTGCTTTAGCTCCACTCAGCTGAGGTTGCATTCCTCTTACGTTAGCGTCTCTGACACATCTCACGATGCACCATTAACCTTATGTATTAATCATATTTCATTTTAATACGACTATGAATTTTTCAAAGTTTTAAAATGGCTAAACCCAGACATTTGTGTTGTGCCTGCATTACATTTTTCCAGTTTCTAAATTTTATAAATGAGCAGCATATTTATATTTAGGCTGCTCTTTATAAAAGTGATTAAATATTTATGGGAAATAATGCTGGTAAGTTGACAACGTCTGGTGTGACATGCAACAACCATCAAATTTTTTCTACAATTTTAAACACTATATTGTTGATTTTTATAATTATAATGCATGAAGTTTGGACTGTTTGTACTTTTAAAAATGTATTCATCACACTGTAGGATCAATTCAATTGAACTATGGCTAATACTCTAAAAGAAATAGGAGCCAAGACATGGATGTTCCCTTTTACTTTTATGTACATTTTAACTTAAATTTTTGTTTAATAAAAAAATGTAGAGTCAGAATAAAAAGTTAATTTAGAGTCCTTCTTCTGTACATCTTACATGGAACAGCATTGATGGTTCCCACACTCTTCAAGCACTGAGCTCCTCCTTTGTAAAATCTTGGCAGAGCTTTTTGCAAAAATTTTATAGCTATGTGTAATCCATGCCATTGTTGTTGGAACAGCGTAATTTCCTCATGACTGTTGGGTGGTTGGATAAGCTGGATCTCATTGCTTTAAAATCTGAATTTGCACTGGTTTATAATGAGCTATATGTGAATGAGAACTGAAGTGGTGTCCCAGTCTCTATGAGGTTCTCATGGTCATGACAGATCAGTGACCTGTGCACAAGGCTTGAAAGCTGATCTTTATGTCCTTCTCTCTTTCTATACCCCTTTCTTCCAGCTACAGAAGCAAAGGTGTAACCATTATTAATGCACGAAGGACAGTTGAACACATTTTCCAGTTGTGAAATACCAGTTTCAAATGAATTGTTTGTGTGTAATGTTTCCATGAGTGAAGTTTGGTGAAAAGCAAATATTTAATTTAATCATAAATATATAGAATTAAAATATATTATATAAATGAAATATTTTATTTGTTTACCTGCATTGCCAAATTAATGTAATGTTAACTTAAAATTTCTACTTTTTTGATTTTGGGGTTCAGCTAACAGGGGGAATTCCTTTATTATATGATGTATGTTTTTTAATTGTGTTTTTACTATCGTTTTACTATCTCTAATGGTGTGTACTGAATGCAGTACACTCAATCTGTTTTCTCTTATTTTAATTCTGTTCTATTGACATATTTCCCCCACAGGCTATGATTTCTCAGAGGTTCTGCGCTGGTTTGGAGAGCGAGTGGACCGTATCATTCTCCTCTTTGACGCCCATAAGCTAGACATATCTGATGAGTTTTCTGAAGCGATCAAAGCTTTCCGTGGGCAGGATGACAAAATCCGTGTGGTACTGAACAAGGCTGACCAGGTGGACACTCAGCAGCTGATGCGGGTTTATGGTGCGCTGATGTGGTCGCTGGGGAAGGTGATCAATACTCCAGAGGTGACGAGGGTCTATCTCGGCTCTTTTTGGGCCAAACCTCTCCAAAATGCAGACAAACGGCGTCTGTTTGAAGCTGAAACACAAGATCTCTTCAGAGACATCCAGAGTTTGCCTCGCAACGCTGCCCTGCGTAAGCTGAATGACCTCATCAAAAGAGCTCGGCTTGCTAAGGTAAGGGTTTTAACTTCAAAACTTAGCAGTCCACTTAGAAATTCATTTTGACGCTTTTAAAAATTTGTTTAGTGTCATTTATGTTATTGTATGTATGTTAAAATTAAATGCATAAAATGGTGTATATTATGCCTGAGATCTGTCATATAATTTTATTATATGGTAATAGTTGTATTATTTTTTATATACTTATAAGCCTTTTTTATTATTTTAATCTTATTTTAGTATTTTCGTTAAAGTTAGTTAATTATAAAAATGCTTAATGTTTATAGATTATAAATTTATACATATTCATATTTTTAGTGTTGATGTATTTATATTATTTGTAAATAATTATTTGTAAAGCATCGCTGCTCATTGTCTGTTATTTTGTCTTGTGTTTGACCTTAGTTCAACCACTATTGTTTTTGGCTTTTAAAATGAGTGCACTGTATGAACTTACACATTGTACCACATGAGCCCCATTCAACACAACCTGCTTGTGCCTTAACACTTAAATATGGACGTATAAACAATTCACTCATGGAACCATGACAAAAAGTGCGTCTTATCTCTTCCGCAATATTTTCCAAACACGTCCAGCAAACAGGAATCCTGAAGCCCTGTGCATGCCTTCCTGTAATGGTAAAGCCATGTGAGGCAGTTTAATGCCTTCTCCATCTCCTGGAAAAGCCCAGAAAAGTCCCTTTCCATGGTACAAAGGAATGTGTGTAACGGGCTTGAAGAGAGCACGGCCTTTATTTTTCCTAACCTCTCCACCCCACTTAGTTTTGCCACTCGTCATGTTTACGCCTTTCCTGTCCTCCTCGAGCCGCCAATCATCCTTAAGAGGAATAAACATGGCTTAAAAGGGAAAAGCCCAGCCTTAATTTGGATCTCTGGTGGTGTACTTCCTCTATATTGAGGAAAAAGTTTGTGTAAATACAGACGCTTTTCAATGTTCCTTTGGCAAGGACATTTCCAAGGTGTAAACACACAGATGGTTTTTGATTATGTAACCGGCCTAGAGTAACAGGAGGTGGATGTCATGTGAGAAAAACTGTCTATAGTATAATAATAGTGATATTGATCCTGTGTTTATTTTATTGTAACATAAAAAACACAATGCATTGTGATATAATTTGAGGTCTTAAATTGCTTTAATTGGGTTGTAACCTTTTAGGTGTTCATTTTAAACTTATGCTGTATGTCATAAATTAGACTTTGTTTTAAATAAATAGTTGCTTTTGTCATTGGGCTACAGCTTGTGCGTATCTTAAATGTAGTCACTAAATGTTAGGGCAGTGTATTTATTATAATAAAATAATGCTAAAAAAAATAAGAAAATAATAATAATAATAATAATACTTATAAACAATAATATATCATGTATTATTATTATTAAAATCATTTTCAAAATGTATGCCTAGCAGCACATCTATTTTTTTTTATAATCAATATGTTAAATGTAGGCCTATATTTCCAGTATACATTATTCTATAAGCACAGGTTCACCATATCTTCTCATGAATTTACTGATAATCTGCTGTGTGTGTTATAGGTGCATGCTTACATCATCAGCTACTTGAAGAAGGAAATGCCTTCCCTGTTTGGAAAAGAGAAGAAAAAGGAAGAGCTGATTGCCCACCTGCCTGAGATCTATCAGATTCTGCAAAGAGAGCACCACATCTCACCTGGAGATTTCCCTAATGTCATTAAAATGCAGGTGAGACTTGGCCTGTGTCTATGGAACATGGGTAAATATTAGATGTTATATTATGGCTTCTACATATGTTTACAAACTAAACAAAACTAACCAGGATGTTTGTTTTATTTAGAGAGACACTAGCTGTTCTTGGATGAATAAAATTTCCAACAACTGCTGGTTATTAGATTTAAGTGCTGGTGCAGATGAATGAGGATTCCAGGCTGTAGATCTAAGAAATTTTTTTTTGTACAGTGTGTTAGTGCTGTGGTTGAGTTCCCGAGGGGACTGCTTGAGTCCCAGCCTTGCTATTGTCTGAGGAGCAGACAGAGTCTGTACTTTCACTTTCTTCTGGTCTTGCCTGAGGATGTTTACCCAGCATGACTCCCTAGGCCCACATCAGAAATTGCATAACAGTATATGTGAAAACAAGATTTCAGTCAAGCAATGTAATGCAGTTTCACATTACTTTACAGAGATTAATGGGGATACATCTCACATTCGGGTCTTTCACATTTACTTAACGTACAGGCATGCAGAATTTTAATTGCTATGAAAAAACAGCAGGGCCATTCTGTATCAACTCAACCAGTGGTCATGTATAGTGAGGAAAGCCAAAATATTAAATATCATGGATGACTATTTACGGAGTAATCCACTAGTTTGTAGAGGGGGGTCGAAATGACAATTTTCGCCTGAGATTCAGAGCCAGAGTACAGTGGGGAAAGATGGCAGCATCATTATGTTATTTTTACACAGAGATTGGTTGGTCTGTTAGAAAAATTCCTTTGCATACAGATACGTTTGTTTTGATAGATGATACATTTCTAGTTTCAACATTATTTGTTCTTCAGACATTCCTCTTTAAAAGAAATAAAGTATTATTTGTATGCGAAGTGACCCACATTTGGTTTTTGACCACTGAAAATGTGTACAATTTATAATTTTACTCCTGGAGCCATATTGAGATTCCAATATCTCTGGAAATGAACCAAATAAGGCCTTAAAAATGAAGATGCCAAAAGGAAAGTTTGTTGAGACCCAAAATTAAGATATCTTTAATACTTCTTGAGATAAAGGCATGCAAACCTTGGAGAAAAAAAATTGAAAAGTGCTTTTACCCACTTTTGAATGGTCACCACTGGCATATAATGCAACAAAGATTGCTAAAGTCAACAGATTTTACTAACATACCTACTAATCTCTGTGTAAAAATAACATAATGATGCTGCCATCTTTCTAAAGTCATTTGTACCCCCCTCCAAATCTGGCTCTGAATCTCAGGTGAAAATTGTCATTTTGACCCCCCTCTACAAAATAGTAAGTTACTCAGTATACGTCCATGACATTTAATATTTTGACTTTCATCACTATACATGTTTATCTTTCTTCAGAAAAAATACTGTTATAGTACAATATAATAACTTTCATTAATAAATCATTAACATTATATAATGCTTAATGGATTATTAGTTAATATATATTCAAAGAGTTAGAAATTTGAGATAATGTGCTTGTTAATGTTTGCTAATAAACTTATTAAACATTAGATAATATTCAAACATCATTATTTCATGCAAGTTAAAATACTTACAAATGTCATTAAACTTTCAATTCCATGTGATCAAGCACCTATTGAAAATCTACAAATGATTTTAACAGATGTTATAAAATAATTAAAAGCTTGTGTTAATGCACAACACTTTTGCTGCTCTTGAGGTGTGATACGGGTAAGGTTAGGGACAGGTTTGGTGGTATGGGTAAGTTTAAGGGTTGATTAAAGGGTCAACAGTGTTCAGGGGTCAATTTGATTATTATAAGAGAACACAGTTCAATCTGTTTATATTATATTGTTTTGATAAATGAACAAGTATTTTCTTTAAAAAAAATTTATATGAATAATATTAAATATTAAATATTTATGATTAAAGGAATATCCCGTTTAATGATACACTGAAGAGTATTATACTAATGTGAGTGTTAAGGCAATAAAAACATTTGTTTTGCACCAAAAATCTGTTATGTCTTTAGCAAGCATTTAGCTAAGCTTAACCAGCCACCCTTTAAACAAACCTTGTAACATTACCTAAAAGTCCAATGCCCATAAAGATACTAAATGATTAGTAATCGTTTATAAACATTTACAAATGATGAATAGTTTCAACTTTAGATTGGCTACAGCAAAAACATGAACAAATAATTAATAAATGATTAGTAAAGATGTGCGAACAGGGTAAATTCAGGTCTTTCAGGACACTTTTTGCCATTCGAGATACCTGCTCATAAAGGTATTAATGATTAGTAAACATTTATATACATTTGCAAATGATGAACAGTTTCCACTTTAGATCGGGTACTACAAAAACATGAATAAATGATTAATCGATTATTTGTTAAGATGTGTAAATAGAGGTCTACACAACAAACAAAGACCAATGAATGAAGATCATATGAACTGAAAGTTTACTGACATTTGTTAGCATTTCAATTTACATTAAATAATATGTGACCCTGGACCTGGTCTTAAAGGTGGGGTAAGCGATTTTTCAAAAACGCTTTAGGGTGCTTTCACACCTGTAGATCAATTGCTTTGTTCCAAAACAGGGATTAAAATTATTACAATGTTGCTTTTTATTCTTGGTGCGGTTCGCTTTCATACGGCAATGTTTCTAAATGGACCAAATTTGTTAATACAAGTCATGCGCGAGTAAACTGTTGTCTCATTGGTCAAAGTTTCACGATTTATTTTCCGGGATTCCACTTAGCTGTCACAGCTGTCATCTGTCAGGATGGAACGATAGCAGCTTCGCGGGCTTATTGTTGTTGTTTTTTTGTAGATGACGTTATATTAATTTATCACTTTGAGCAAGAGTCCAGGATTCATCGGGAAAACATTTTGAAAATGCACATACTAGGAAGAAGAGCAATAAGACGGCATTATAAAATGAAAAAGTGCGCTTTGATTTTGAATGGCGAAGACGTGCACACCCACAGGCATTCACATGGTTCATTTTGAAGTATTAGCAAAACAACAAAGCTAATGCTTTTCACAGAATTTTATGTAATTACCCATTAAACACTGTGATATAGCCTGGTTCGTTGGTCCATTAGATCGGATTGCTTTCTCACTACAACCGAACCGCTCCAGAGTTCGTTTTCAATTGGGCCGAGACCACCTCGGATTATTTTGGCGCAGATCCGAGCACGATTGCCGTGTTCAAATATGCCCAAACGAACTGAGCTAAGGGGGGAAACCCGCCAGGTTCTGAAACAACGGGCCAGGTGTGAAAGCACCCTTAGAAAACTGATTCGGTCCGACTAGCAAAACAAACTTGTAGCCAATCAGCAGTAAGGGGTGTGTCTACTCATGATGTGGAAGAGAGAGAGTTCAGTGCACATGACGGACATTAGCAAGCCGAGCGACAGAAAGATAGAGATGGCGGATAAAAAACAAAAGAGGAAAACCTCTGCAGAACAAAAGAAAGCTTAAGGCAATAAGGCAAGAAGTAGGACCCGTGTAAATATCGGATCAGCTTTCCAGCGCTGGAGAGAACTCTAGGAACGGAAGGCCTGCGATCGGACGCCGAGGTTGCTTTGTTTCTTCTCGATAGGGGAGTAACACTGTGTCTGCGCTGCAACAGCTGTCTGTCTAGTATACTGGAAAGCGGCCGTTGAAAATCATTTGAAATTTGTGTCAATACGTCATGAATAGAACGCAGCAGCAGTTTTCTGTCGGGGATTTGTCGTGCCACGCCACACCGCATCCAGTGTAGACCATAGATATGTATATATATCTATAGTGTAGACAGCATCACTGATTATAATGAGTTCTATTGTATTTTGTCGCGCTGCTCGCATCCAGTGTAGACCATAGATATGTATATATATCTATAGTGTAGACAGCATCACTGATTATAATGAGTTCTATTGTATTTTGTCGCGCTGCTCGCATCCAGTGTAGACCATAGATATGTATATATATCTATAGTGTAGACAGCATCACTGATTATAATGAGTTCTCTAGTATTTTGTTTGTCCTATCCTAACAAACCATATATCAATGGAAAGCTTATTTATTCATTATGTATAAATGTCAATTTCAAAAAAATTACCCTTATGACTGGTTTTGTGGTCCAGGGTCATATATGTTAATCATTAGGTAATGTTTAGTAAGTTCATTAGTAAACATTAACAAGAACATTATCTCATATTTCTAGCTATGAGAATATATATTAACTAATGATCTGTTAAGCATTATATAATGTTTGTTAATGATTTATAAATGAAAGTTATTATAAAGTGTTACCAGTAAGTTTCTGAAATTTGGTTGTTTTTACACGGAATGACCCAGCAGACATTACCTATAATAACATTGCTAATTACTGACTGCACACATGCTCTCAGTGAACTTTTCAACCAGACAGCTTCCAGGCAGCACTTGAAAGATAAAGGCCATGCTCTAAATAGACTGTACAGTAGGTGACATTGATTCACTCCAGAATTAGACATCATATCACTGAAATAACAACTTCAGTACTTGGATGCCTCATTTGTTTAGGGCTTACTTTATAAATAATTTAAACACATTATAAAAAATTATAATGAATAATGAAACAAAAAACCGAACCCGGTGTGTTTCAGTTGTTTATGCTATATTATTACAGACACTTTAATTTGACATTAAAATGTCTCCTTCTGTCACTTACATCTGCTAACATGCAGGAGCAACTGCAACACTACGACTTCAGCAAGTTCCCTTCTTTGAAAGTAAAGTTGATTGAATCTGTGGACAGAATGTTGTCCACCAAGATCTCAAGTCTGTTGAACATGATCCGAGAGGAAGAACGCAAACAGCCTCCTCAGATGGTAATGGGTGGAGCCTTTGAGGACTCGTCCAATGGGCCTTTTGGTCACGGTTATGGTGAGGGTATCAGTGCAGGGGCTGATACTGAGGACTGGATCGTTAGTCGCGACAAACATCGCTACGACGAAATCTTCTACACACTGATGCCTATCAATGGGAAGGTAACTGGCATCAATGCCAAGAAGGAGATGATGAATTCTCATCTGCCCAACACTGTACTGGGAAAGATCTGGAAGCTGGCAGACTGTGATAAGGACGGCATGCTGGATGATGAAGAATTTGCTCTGGCTCAGCATCTTATTAAAGTCAAACTAGAGGGATTTGAGCTTCCTACAGAGCTACCAAATCACCTAGTGCCTCCATCGCACAGGAAGAACCCCACTGCAGACATCATGTACAACCACCAGGAGAATTGATCATCTTCATATCTGCATATTTATCAGCCAGTTGCTAGCACAAAGTGGCCTTTGAATACTGAAGTCTTACTTCATTGAAAGGGATGAAGCTTTATTGGTTAAGCCATCTTTCATCAACAGACATGTGTGACTTTCACATGCCCAAGATTAAGTATGTTTGAATATTTGTGCACTCAGTATTAAAGAACAACATGCATATTAAAATTACAGTCCATGTAATTGATTACTTCTACATTTTTTCCCTGACCTTGTGTTATTTCGACATGTGCTTGCAGACTGTAAAAATGGATGGCAGTGCAGTTCATTAGGCAGTGCTTTCAACGTTATATTACATTTCATAATAAATAACAATTTCAGTTAAGTATGCATAACAGCAGCCAAAAATAATACACACAGAAGCACTGACAGAAGCATCCATTCATTTCACTCATTCTGACAGTGTGGATATCGATTAAATTAATTTTGAAACATTTCCATGAATGTACACTTTTCATATGAACTGCATCATAATGCTGAAATAGACTATTTGTGAGCATTTTTAATGTGGGCAAAATTGAGAGTAATTCAGTGTTTCATGATGCAGTTAAAATTATGTTCAATACTACATACAAAAAATACTGCATACACTTTTCTTACACTGGGTGTTACTTTTTTTTGGATCGAATTATGTGACATTGATTAAATGTACAAATTAAAAACAGCATTACACTGAACAGTACTGAGTTTTGCCAACGTTTTTTGTTGTGTATACTATTTCTGTCTTACATTGACTAGGTTGTGAAGAGTTATAGTAGTTTATAGCGGCAAGCATTTAGAAATGTGAAACATCTACATTTAAAAAAATAATCCTGCAAAAACAGTCTACAATTTCAGTATTCATGAGTGTTCCAGTACCACGCTTCTTCCTTACTTTTTTTAGATTGTCAGCCTGGAGAGATTGTCATCCAACTCTATTCTCTGCCTTCTAATTTAAAAAAAAAACTTTTTTTAAAATATATATATATATATATATATATATATATATATATATATTAAAGATTTTACATAAACAATTAATAATGTTATATACGATGTCAGTAAGAAACAACATTGAATTAAACATAGTGTTTATATTTCTGAGGTGCAAAAAAACTTCTATTGAATGATGAAATCAGCTGTCATTATGAAACTCCTTTATGCCGTATATACACTAATACAGATGAATGTAATTATGTATGTTAAACATTGTCACTATAACCATATGTACATTTTAATATACAGAGATTGTTTCTCAGCTCAGAGGTGGATTACATGAACTAGACTTTAACTATTTGACATGAGGCCTTCTCTTAAGGCTTTTAAACATGAAAAATCATTGTGTTTATGTGGAGGTAAAGTTAAGATTACTGTAAAATGTGATTAAAGCCATTCTGTTCAAGTTTCCCAGACACTTAAGTACATTTATATAGGTGTTTAATGGTGCTTCCTATACTTTAATGAGCCTCTGACGTATATACAACCTTCAACCATCTGTTAATATGTAATTTGCAAATTTTAATTTTAAAATTAAAATTAATTGTTTCTCCCAAGACTTTATTTTGAAATTCGTAATCAATAGAAACTTGAGCATGCACTAAATCTTTTTTGAATAACAGTAGTTTCAGTTGTTTCAACCCCAAATCAATTAGCATACAACTGGCATGGCTGTTCCTGGATGGGCCTGTATAGAGGTGTGTGCTGCTGAATTGCATAAAATACTGAATATGACTGCAACCTTTACCCCTCATGTAGCACATGGTCAGGTGAGTGAGAATTACCCTCCCTTTCAGTCCATTACAACAGTGTCAAAGTTCAGTTCAGTTCCTCAACACTGATCAGTCTTAAAGAGGATTTATCGGATTACGCTCAAATCATGAATTTATGCCTATGATGAAAGTCTATGATTAGCACTGACTGTGCCTAAGTGCTGAAAACAAACCTTGAGAAGGGTAAGTGAATTCGAAATCTCTTGCATTCTGTGCATCACAATCTGACAAACAAATGTAATACTTGCTTGTGTTTCAAATAATTGTAGGATATACAAATGGCAACATTTAAGAAACAAAAAAATACAGGTTATGCAAAAATGAAATGGAAGTTTGTCTACAGAGATGTGTAATATTACAGTTTAATTGTTCATATTTGTTTTAAACTAGATTAAACAAATGTCTATTTCACCGAATTATAAATATGGACATAAAATAATATTTTGACGATATATATATAATAGCACCATAGCATTAAGATGCTACTAAGATAATGTTCCAAAGTATAATATCTGAAAAGTATTAAGACATGAAAAGTTGGCCAGTTTACTAAGTAATCTGTAATCCTTGATCCCGACATTCAATTTATCACCAGATTTGGAAATGCTAGTTATTTTTATGATCCTTCTAAAGATGTCTGTAAAGTCAAGACTTGAAATACATAATTACACTGTCAGCAGGAGAGGCATGATTGCCCTGATGCTTTCACTTCCTCAAACATAAGAGAACAAAGTTGATTTACAAATTGAAGATTACTTATCTTGTCATATTTAACTTGACATTTCCTTGGTACTATCCTCTTTTATTTTAACTTCCCGAAAGAGCTCAAAAATCGAAACGTAAAGGCCTCACCAATCGTGTGCATGGCTTAGCTTTCACTTCCTCAAACATAAGAGAACAAAGTTGATTTACAAATTGAAGATTACTTATCTTGTCATATTTAACTTTCACAATGACATTTCCTTGGTACTATCCTCTTTTATTTTAACTTCCCGAAAGAGCTCAAAAATCGAAACGTAAAGGCCTCACCAATCGTGTGCATGGCTTCATTTTTAAACTCATTGTGGGCAACTATTGTAAATGAACAATCTGTGGGGTCTGGTTTTTGTATCTTTGAAAGAGTTACATGCAGTTTTCATATGTTGTTTTCAGGGACTAACACAGTCAAGAGATGTTTAAACAGGGAGATGGAGAGGAGTCGGATGGCCGATTCCGGGAGCTTCAGGAACAGCGGATGACGGTGCAGAAGAAGACCTACACAAAATGGATGAACAGTGTCTTCTCAAAGAATGGGGTACGAATAAGTCCATCCAAAGCCTTCCTGAACCTCAATGCTAGTTCAGGCAACAAGATCTACAATCAGAGACACAACTAAGCACCGACACTTAAACTAAAGCTTACATTTCAAATGTGTCATGATCAACCCTTTTGCTATGGCTAGAATCTTGCTATGGCTATCTTTCTATCTATACATATATATAAATAATCCACTTCGTTTAATCAGTGATATCTGCTGGCGGCACAGCAATTTGATTACACAAAAATTCATGATTCACAAGATATCACGATAACTGGTGATATCTAGTGTAATATAATGTTAGTGATCCTGACTCCAGTCTTGTGACTTACTTTAGTTTACGATATGCTCACTCCAGCATGATTACCTCTAGTTGTGAACCCTTGAACCCAGTTAAGGTCATAATTATTTTATCATTGTCCATTACATTACCATCTACATACTTTATGTACTTGTCTCACAATAAGTGCACAGTTCGTTTGGTTGCTTATTTAAACAAGTTAGCCCACTGTTTTCTATATATACACTCTGAGATTGAATTCTATGTAATAATAATGAGAGAAAGTGGCAGGTAGACATAAAGGAAAACTCAATAGTTAATTTTTATACACTTGTTATGCAAACCTTCTGTTTTTGACAGATCAGCACAGGGGAGGGAAAAACAAAGATGATTTACCTTGTATTACATCAACATCACCAATCTTAGATTTAGGAAGAAAATAGTACCACCTTGACTGTATAATATTTTTATACCTGATTTTTCCACTATATTTGTCTCCCTTTGAGTGTTATATTTAACAGTGGTTACATATTACCTCCTCTCATACTTACTGCCATTGTTGTGTGAACCAACTGAGAGACTTAACTTACATAAAACACTAACAGCAGGAAGATGTTAAAACAGACAAGTGGTTCTACAACAACCTTCCTCAGCTTGTTAGGGCACACAAATATATTAATAGCTGTATACTGGCAGCTGTCTGAAAGAATGAGATGTGTTTTAAACATTCCCCTTTCCTTTTCCCCTTCCTCAGTTGCTCCTGTGTATTGTTCTGTATCAAACAACACCGTTCATAACATGTATATTATAAAAGGTCACACTTATCATTAAAAACCTAAATATTGCTTTCTGAGAAAATCTATTGCACTCTCGTACTAGCTGGTTATTAGTTGCATGCAAGTTAGCAGTTAGCTAAAGACCATCGTTTTTAGAAGCAATTATGAAAGCTGCAAAAAGGTTTGCAGTAATTGCAAGCAGATTTTATTGTTTTATCATTGCTCTTGAGTGATGAACTTCGTCTCTGTAGACCCACCAGAGAAGCAGAGTGTGCTCTAAGCTCCCTCGATTCATTCCCTGGGTAAGCAGAGCCTATTGGAGGCAGTAAGCAGATCTGTTGAGAGACATCAGATTCCCACAACACATGGATTAGGGAGTGGTTGCAAGTCTCTTGCTTGAAAGCTGAGAGCAGGACGGCTTTACTGAGGAGTGTGAGTGAGTCACGTCATAGTGGAATACAGTGGCAATTAGCCAAACACAATGGTAAAACAAAGCCAGCTGCTGAATTCATGCCTAAACTTGTTTAAAACTGCCTATGATGCATAAAACAAATGCAGTTATAGGACATAAGAACATGTATGTCACTACCTGCAACATGCTTGTTAGCCGATGTCTTCCCACTTTATGATTACTTGATTGTAGAAACTGGATGTATTGGAAATGTGTGTAAATTTTATTTTAATGTGCATTCACTTTAAAGGAAAAGGCTGACTTGACTGATGTATATACTGAACTAAGAACTGGTGTGCCACTCGTGCGACTTCTGGAGCTCATCTCCGGGGAGAAACTGCCCACTCCCAGTCGACGTACCCTAAGAGTTCACTGTCTGGAAAATAACAGCATTGCCATTCATTTCCTTAAAACCAAGGTACACTGGAAGAAATACAATGTGCAAAACTCTGAAAAGTACCTTTTAAAAAGTATTATTTCCACAATGTAACGTCTTAAATTGTGGAATAATTGAAAAATGGAATAATTGTAGGACTCTGCTCATCTTCCTATAGATTAAAGTAGATCTGATTGGTCCAGAAAATATTGTGGATGGAGACAAAACTCTGATCCTGGGCTTAATTTGGATCATCATTCTCCGCTTCCAGATTGGAGCCATCAATATTGTTGAGGTAGGGCCTTAAGAGTGGCCTCTATAAACGTTCTAAAAAGCAAAAAGTGTACTTATCACTCTGTTCACATTCTATTTTGGTTTCAGGCTAGTGGTGATGGCAGTGGTGCTCAGCGCTCTGCCAAAGAAGCTCTACTGATATGGTGTCAGCGTAAGACCGCCGGTTACGCCAATGTAAATGTGCAAGACTTCTCAAGCAGCTGGAGAGATGGACTGGCCTTTAATGCTCTTATTCATGCCCATCGGTAGTATTTTCTGTGGATAGCATTCTCTTTTGATAAGGAACAGAATTTGACTATGTTCCCTTTCCACTACTTCAGTCTCACGATGTTATGATAACATTGTTCCAGGCCTGATCTTTTTGACTACAACCGACTACGCCAGGATGATCCAATGAGGAACCTCACCCATGCTTTCACTCTGGCAGAAGATGAGTTTGGTATAATGCAGCTCCTGGATGTGGAAGATGTCATGGTGCCCCATCCCGATGAGAAGTCTATCATGACTTATGTCTCCCTGTACTACCACTACTTCTCCAAAATGAAGCAGGGTCAGACTGTCCAGAAGAGGATAGCTAAGGTTAGTTTAATTTAAGGTAACGTGTAATTTTAAGTAATGTAAAATGCAATGGGAAGCTTTTCTTCCATATTGTGGTGTATATCCAAGTGAACCAGATTATTGTAAAGAAAAAAGTGTAGAACGAGGGCATCAGTAGTTGATTGGATGGAG